GGCATGAAAAAATTTAAAAAATTCTAGAGAGGAACTGTTGGCATAACAACGAAACTAAAAAAAATGGCGATCATATATAAACGCTTTTTCTAAAAATAGAACATGCTTTACACGAAATATTTAATAAAGGATATGACTAATACAGTATCAAGAAGGATATGGCTATCGCAAAAAAACAACATAATACTGATAACGACTTTAAATCCAACTATCTTAATTAAGTGTTGATTTATAACATAACCTTCGTCTTACTCTTCCTATCAACATCATTATAACCAAAATGCCGTTACTAAATATCATTAAAATAAAAAGATAAAAGCATCAGGACACTCATTAATCATTTTAATCATTTCCACAATCGCATACAAACTGGAAGCAATTAATTCAGTTTAGTGTATCAAAAGCGTCGCCTTCTATTGAGACGACATTCCGGCAGAAGTTATCAGATTAATTTTTCGTCGTTTTTGTTTTCGTTTTCGGTTTTCGGCTCCGTCTTTAGCTTCGCCATCGTTTACGTATTCGTCGTCTTCGTCATCGTCTTCAACTTTGTCTTCGTCTTCGTTCTCGTCTTCAACTTTGTCTTCGTTTTCGATTTTCGTCTTCATCTCCTCTTCGTCTTCGTCTTCAACTTTGTCTTCGTCTTCGTTCTCGCCTTCAGCTTTGTCTTCGTTTTCGATTTTCGTCTTCATCTCCTCTTCGTTTACGTCTTCGTCTTCAACTTTGTCTTCGTCTTCGTTCTCGTCTCCATCTTCGCCTCCGTCTTCATTTTCGTCCTCGTCCTCGTCTTTGTCTCCATCTTCGTCCTCGTCTCCGTCTTTAGCTTCGTCTTCATCTTCGTCATCGTCTTTGTCTCCATCTTCGTCCTCGTCTCCGTCTTTAGCTTCGTCTTCATCTTCGCCTCCGTCTTCGTCTCCCTCCCATCCCCTCATCCCCCTCATCCCCATCTTCCTCCCCATCTTCCCCCCTTCCCTCCGCCTCCCCCTCCCCAAGGTGTCCTTCTGACAGCCATTAACAAGCTGTGTCTCAAACGTGTCACCTTTTGTAATGGCGTCGGATATTTTTGTCTCCCGAGGCGCTGGGAGGCATATATATATATATATATATATATATATATATATATATATATATATATATATATATATATATATATAGCACACACAACACACACACACAACACACACACAAATATATATATATATATATATATATATATATATATATATATATATATATATATATATATATATATGTATATATAGATATGTATAGATATAGATAGATATAGATATAGATAGTTAAATATATAGATATAGATATAGATATATATACAAACTACAAACACACATAGGGTGTATGTATGCATGTATGTTATAGCGTCTACATCCTCATAAAACATACATATAATCCAAACACACACACATGAACATACACGTGTGCATATGTATGATAATGTAGCCAAATTCTAATACGTCGTAAGCCACTGCGTATGAAAAGAAGGGAAGGAAGAGAGAGGAAGATAGGAAGGGAGGAAGAGGGGAAAGGAGAGAGGGGAAAAGAGATCGGAGAAGAGGGGAAATGGAAGAATAACCGTCATTTATTCCAAGTAACACTCGAAACAGCTGTCACCGGGAAACATAAACACAAATACGTTTAAAATCATATCATAAATTAGTTCTCAGCAACAGGAGATTGGGGCAACGATTCATTATCCGTATTAAGTCTTCTGCGACTTTCCTTTACCCCTTTTCGTGTAAAGTTATTTCATAGCTGTCATATGTATCCATCATAGTGTTAGGTTATTGCATAGCAGCAACATGTATCCTTCCTAAATTTTTAATTTTCATTTTTTTTTAAATTTATCTATTTATTTTCTTTATAAAGTAAGGTTAGTTCATGGCTGTATATGTATCCGTTATGAGTACAAGGTTATTTTTAGCTGTGATATTAATGCGGTTAAGCTGTAAGGTTATTTTTACAGATGTACGTATCTGTTTTGCAAATTTCGCCTAAAAAAGTCTTATTTTCAGATTCATTCATTTTCAGAAGTGAAACTGAGAAAGCAAAACAAATGGGACTTATTTTTACATCTGACGCTTCCAAAAGCATCTCCATTCTTGCAAATTTCTGCGTATCGCACCTCATTTCATAAACGTTTCTCCAAAAAAACTCAAAAGTGACACCAAGAAGGAAAAAAAAGAAAAAGAAGAAAAAAAAAAAAAAAACATCCTGCGCCTCCACACCACCTACAGTCTATGACGTCACCACATCCCCTGACGTCATCGTAGCAGTGACGTCACCGGATCCTCCGCTCATCTTGAACAAACACTTAACGAGAATCACCTCATCTCCAACGTCCTTATAAGGGATTGTACCAAAAAAAGCAGGATATTAACGCTCAAAGTTGCTGGCCTTCTGAACGGCTGCTAAACCCCTTCGCCAGCTAAATGAACGAATATCATCAATCAATAGGAATTGATTAATGAACGCGGCACACCTCCTTCCTATGAGTGTAATGAGAGTGTTGTTACTGTGTTGACTGTAAGTAATCGCTGAGTGATGAATCGTGATCGGTTTAATTGGGAATATTGGTATATTATCTCAGGTTAAAACTCCTTGCTCATGCTAATATTGAAACAAAAATCAGAAATGGGTAACTGAACACAGGATTCTTATTCTTACCTATCATTATCTAAATATGAAAAAAAACTTTTTTATTCACATATAACATTATTATCTAAATAAAATAAAAAATCTTTTAGAAGAAAAGAAAGACGAAACGAAAAGCGCAAAAATGAAAAAAAAAAAAAAAAAAAACAGCAAATCGAACCCCGCAACACAGCTGATTTCACCGAAAAGCGAAAAAAAAAAAAAAAATCAACAAATCGAACCCCGCAACACAGCTGATTTCGCCAAGGCAACCGCCTCGCAAAACACCAGTTATAAGACAACAAACAAGTATAAACAAAGATAAAACAACAACACTAAAACGAGCCGGAGACAAGCGCCAAGAAAGCTCTCTCTCTCCCCAACGAGAAGCAAAAATTAGCGGGAAAAATGTAGCATTCTTTGGCTCGTCCGCTCTCCGTGTCTCTTTTGTTTTTCTTTCGTCATAAACATTTCTGTCTTTTTGCTCCTAATTCGTCTCACTATCTCCATTCTTTAAGCTCAGACGTAATTGATTTTTTGAAATTCCTTTTATACATATTATCTTTTTTTTAGCCGTTGACAAGTCGTCCTTTGAAGAATTTATTTTAAGCTCGGCGACAGTTATTTCGAATTTGGCGGGAAATTTTCTAACTGTTGCGTGTATCCGTCTGCTAAGTGTTAGGTCATTTTATGGCTGTAATATATAAGCGTTAGTAGTGTGGAGTTATTTAATGGCTGTGAAAATACCTCTTTATAGTACGTGGCTATTTTGTAATGTCGTAGTCGTCACATGTATCCGTTTATCGTGTACAGTTATTTCACGCCTGCCATATGTATCCGATTATCGTGTAAAGTTATTTTACAGCTGTCATATGTATCCATTATAGTGTTACGTTATTGCATAGCAGCAACATGTATCCTTTCTTAATTCTTAATTTTTATGTTTTATTTTCTATTTCATTTATTTATTTACTTTATAAAGTAAGGTTAGTTCATGGCTGTATATGTATCCGTTATGAGTACAAGGTTATTTTTAGCTGTGATATTTGTGCGGTTAAGCTGTAAGGTTATTTTACAGATGTACGTATCTGTTTTAGCTTAGGTTAGCTTATAGCTGTCATATGCACTTGTTTAAAAACGTGAAAAAAGTATTTTACATTTATCATATGTATCCGATTAGACATTTGCGTTTAATGTATTTCTTTAAATGTGCTATTCTAGTAGCATATTTAAGCTATAATAAGATATAAATAGGTGCATTCTAGCCAAAAAAAAACAAAAAACAAAAAAAAAAAAACAAATTAAGTCCAATAACATAAAACTATGTAGGGGAGAGGGGGGGGAGGGAGTCTTAGGGAGGGCAGTTGTCCCCCCATAGCACCCCCCCTCCCCCCCCTCAAACTAAAAGCCCCTACTTTTAAAGCGTAAAATAATTCCATAGATTCCAAAGTTAATCTAGCATAGGCATTTGGCAGTTGTCACGCGCATTCCTATAAAGTATTTGGTCATTTTCTTCCTATTCGTATCTACGTAGAATCTATTTATCACCTTCATGTCACGCCGTGTTGGAAACCACTTCATTAATTTGATATATATTTAATCATTTGTTAATTTCCGCTGATTCATTCGTTTTAAGAGCGAAAAAATGTAGGTCGAGTTATCTTATCTTATCATTATTATTTGGATAATCTTTATGCGCGTATATATTTCGTTCTAATATAATGGTCTCGAAACAGTAAGCAAAACTATTTTCAAAATAAGCTTAAAGGAAACTTTTTTTTTATTTACGATAAACTATGAAAAAAAAACGGATTTTAATCTACGGGATACACACGCCGCTTTTCAGGTCTCTCTCTCTCTCTCTCTCTCTCTCTCTCTCTCTCTCTCTCTCTCTCTCTCTCTCTCTCTCTCTCTCACACACACACACACACACACACACACTTTTCCCAAAATAGATTCTTAGTCACGTTATTTGCGCATTTTGAAAATAAATGCTTGTAAAATTACGGAGAAACATATACATATCACAAACAATCACAAACGTTTTATATTTCCCCAATCACAACGTTCTACCTTTTCCCAAATCACGAAAAAAAAAATAACAAAAAAAATAACAAAAATAAAACTCGCCCAAAAGCACATCCGGGTACTCACCGCCGTCAGGAGAGCCGAGCTTGGCCCTGGCCGAGGAACCGCAGGAGGCTTGAGGGACGGACTTGCGGAAGGCGGCCTTCTCCCTGCGGCGCTGCGGGCTCTCGTGCCTGCGGACCACCACCTCGTCCACGCCGCTGAAGGTCACGCGGGCCAGGCTGGGCTTCTCTGCAGGAGGCGCTGACGGAGGAAGGGAGGAGAGGGGTTTGAAGTGGGAGGTTAGTGGCGGGGGAGGGAGGAGGGATGGGGAGGGGAGGGGAGGGGAGGGAAAGGGAGGGGAGGGGTTACGGGAGGGGAGGGGAGGGGAGGGAGGGGAGGGGAGGGGAGGGGAGGGGAGGGAGGGAAGGGAAGGGAAGGGAAGGAAGGGAAGGGAAGGAAGGGAAGGGAAGGGAAGGGAAGGGAAGGGAAGGGAAGGGGGGAGGGGGGGTATGGAGGAGAGGGATTTGATGTGGGAGGTTAGTGGAGGGGGGGAGGGGAGGAGGGAGGGAAGGGGGAGGGGAGAGGTTACAGGAGAGGGAGGGGTTACGGGAGGGAGGGGGAGGGGAGAGAGGGAGGAGGGAGGGAGGGGAAGGAAGGGAAGAGGGAAGGGAAGGGAAGGGAAGGGAAGGGAAGGGAAGGAAGGAAGGAGGAAGGGAAGGGGGGTGGGGTTAAGGAGTGGAGGCATGTGGGGGTGGCGGCGTTTTTTCTATGTATCTATCGTAGTTATTTATCTATTTTTTTGTGAACAGTGTATAGGCTTTGTTGCATAAGAGGATATGTATATATGCATGCTTATATTTATGTATTTCTTAAAATATACTATATTATAAAAAAAAAAATATATATATATATACATCTATCATCAATCTATCTATCTATCTATCTATCTATCTATCTATCTATCTATCTATCTATCTATCTATCCATCTATCTATACATATCCGAGTACAAATAGTATAATAATAATCATATTTCGTGGGGTAGAAAGGATCAGCCATTGGTAATATTCTTTATTTTCTTTATCTTTTCCTTCTGGATAAGCAATGGCGCTGAAATTCCATGGCCATTTAATTGATCCATATCACCAAGACCTTTGCTGGATATGTTATGGATAAGTTATCTCTTGCAAGGTGAAGATCTTGGGATAATATGACGTCAGAGGGGACTAATGCTTTGATTAAATGGCTAATGTAAGTTTATCAAAGACTTAATTAAAACGGCAAAATACTGCCACGTGGAGAGAATTCGTTATTCATTTGATTATATATATATAAATATTATATGATAAATTATAGGTATTATAAATATTATATAGAAATAAGGAAACGCAAAATTAACACTTTCAGAGACAAGATAGATGAGCTTTTAAATGTTTTTATTTTACGAACTTAATCGTGAGGTTAATTAAGCATCTTACTTTGCTTTACCAATAATTTTCATTCATATATTTTTTCTAGGAATCGTATCGAAGTAGTTTACCTTCCTACGTACATATTTACGGATGTATGTAAAGTACGTTATATTCACGAACGTTATAGTGACTTTTCAAAATCTAAACATGTATCGAAATTATCAGAAAAAAATAATAAAGATAAAAACAAAAACAAGAATACACTCTCTAACGTGTTAAAACGCTAAGCAAACTTGAAAAAAATACGAAATTAGTTATGCACCAACAAACTTTGTTTTCGCATGTGGCAAAAAAAACTTTTAATGACATTAATTTAGCAGTTATTCGCATGTGGCAAAAAACTTTTAATGACATTAATTTAGCAGTTATTCGCATGTGGCAAAAAACTTTTAATGACATTAATTTACGCATGTGGCAAAAAACTTTTAATGACATTAATTTAGCAGTTATTCGCATGTGGCAAAAAACTTTTAATGACATTAATTTAGCAGTTATTCTCAGCTACGGAATTAATCCAACCGCTTTCGACATTTACTATTTCTTTCACATAACATTCACTATAGGCCTATATCTATTCACGTACGTTATAGTCACTTTTAAAAATCTAAACATGTATCGAAATTATCAGAAAAATAATAAAGATAAAACAAAAACAAGAATACACTCTCTAACGTGTTAAAACGCTAAGCAAACTTCAAAAAAATACGAAATTAGTTATGCACCAACAAACTTTGTTTTCGCATGTGGCAAAAAAAACTTTTAATGACATTAATCTAGGAGTTATTCCCAAATACATTCACTAATTAACTAAAATAATTCGACATCACTATTTACTATTTCTTTCACATAACATTCACTATAGGCCTATATCTATTCAAATAGTAAAAATTCGAGGTACAGCGATGACCCCTTCGCTAGGCCTATCTTCACGTCCGCCTTTTAAAAAGCTGCCTGGCTAAATGTACATCTTTGTCTTCACTTTATTCGTGAAATATGATAAGTAGAGAAGAATGTATTTTGCTTTTGATGTTTTTGTTTATGATGTTTATGGACTTCGAGATCCCTAAGCAGTTGCGATATAATTTTTCGATTAACGAATCATTTTTATCTGATGTGTGTTAATTTGGCTTAGTAAATTAGAAAAAAAGTTCTTAAAATACTATATTATAAGAGGCTTACGAACTCAAATCGCTTTTTCAAGAACGGTTCAAGAAAACGAATAAACTTATCACGTGATCAACCACCTCGGCAAATAACCTGATGTTATTTGTTTATAATCATTATTTATCTTTAACAAATGACAACTTCAAATCAAGGTCGAAGGGCACTAACAGCTTCTAGATTATTCTAACTGTTATTATCTTTTTCTTTAAACCGCCGTCATGAACTAATGAACGTAGAAAGAATGTGAATGAAGTCTTGTGTGCCAAACGTACGATCAGGAAGTGACCTTCTTGTCTTGTTTCGTCAGTGATTTCCTGTCCTTTTAATATTAGGGTCACGGACTTCTGTGTCAGTCGAACATTACTTAAAAAACGGACATCACAACGAAAGAAAAAAAAGAGAGATATCACAAAGAACTTAAAATCATAGCAAATTGGACTAGAGGTATTCGCAAAATGGACAGCGTTCTGGTTTATTCTATTGCAATTTTTTCCCGCGTTCGTTAATGTGAGTTCATTACAAAATACATTACACGTCACTTTTGTTTACTATCCCACAGAAACAACAGTTAATAATTTCTTTTTATAATATCGTTGCAATAGAAAATACCACGATTGAAAAAAAGGAAAATAAAAAAGTTCGCTACGATCTGATGCGCATAGTAATCAATGAATATATTATACTTTAAACATCAATAATCAGAATTAATTGAAGAGTCTATGGAAATATATGCTTTGCCATTATTTGCTTTATATCCCTCTGAAAACACAAAAACAACTTGATTCTACATTTATTCCAGCTGCGTCGATAGCTTTTGTTTTCGAAATAAGCAGACGGATTCGAGAGGGACAGCGCAGCCCCGTGTGATAAAATTTTAAATAGATAAAGCAAAGAACTTATTTTGTTGGTTTGGCTACTAAATAAAGTGTTATTCCATTGATGTTGATTAGCTGAATATAACTACCTAATTAATGGGCTAAATTGATGTACAGTAATTTACATATATGCTAATTATTTGTTTATAATCATCCTTTATCATTCTATCAACTCAAAAATCATGTCTAGTGTGTATGCTCAAAAGCGTATATTTCATCCATGAATGTTTAAATAATCAAAAATGAACAGCCAGTCAGTGAACAGTGTGATATATATTAAAGTATTTTCAAAACTTATAAAGCAATAACTTCACTGCAAAATGGCATTAGATTTCAACAAGTGTATCTTACACGATCATGACTAAATATAATTCATAAATAACGACAAATCAAACCAAAACACATTCCCTATCTATAAAGCTATCCTGTTAAATATTTAAGGCTTACTATTAAACCAAAAATATTAAATATCGCTATTAAATCATAAATATATTCCTTCTATATAATGATGTCCTTTAAATTAATGAATTGGAGCATTTCAGAGGAAAAATGTCCTTAATGTCAAAATCCTGAGACAAAAATACGAAAGAATGGCCCCGGGTCCTGGCCTACCTGCGACAGAGGCAGGAGGCGCTGCGTTCTCCTTGTTGCCCTCGCCCTCGGCTCTCTTGACGGGCGTCTGCACCGTGGGCGTGACGGGGGCCGAGTCGTCGTTATCGTTCTCGTCCGTGCGGCACTTCTTGTGTTCGTTGATCTCCATCTTCTCCTTCTTGCACGGGATGAAGTCGTCCGCCGCGCCGCCCTCGCCGCTCTCCTTGGCCTGGTTCTCCAGCTCGCGCACCATCTTCTCGGGCACGTCCAGGCACTCCTTCTCGTAGGCGTCCACGATGGGGCTCTCGGGCACCTGCGTGTAGCGGTTGTCGCCGTCGTTGGTGTCGGGCAGCTTGAGCGAGTTGGGCTGCTTGAGGGCGTTGTTGTTGGTGTGCTTGAGGTTGGCCGCGGCGCCGCAGCTCTCCTTCAGCTCCTTGTGCTTGATGTAGTGCTTCATCTTGCGGCTGTGGAGGGCGAGCTCCTCCTTCCCGTTGGACAGAATTGCATCGTTCATCTTCACTTTGGTCTCTGCCATCTTCTGCTCGATGTCGGAGGGGTTCTCGTCTTCGGATACGTATCCGGGCGAGTCGGGGCTGGAGGGGCAGGAGTTACATATTTCCCCGGCGGCGCTCTTCCCGTCAGGAGAGGCTACGTTGCCATTGTCGTCCCCGGCCCGGTTGTTCACGTACGCGTCGGGGCTGAGCTGGAGCTTCGGCTTATCGTAGAACGACTTCACGAACGCCCCGCTGCTCGCTAGTTCATTGATGTTGTTGTTGTTGTTGGCGGCGTTCTTGTCGGGGCTGAGGTCATTACACTGGGGGCTCAGCTGCGTCAGGCCGTCCGCTGGCCACGCCTCGGCCTCCTGGAACCCGCACGAGGAGGAGCTTGGCCGGCGCGAGTGGTAGCCCAGCACCTCGAAGTCCAAGAGGCTCCTGGAGTCCCGCTCTTTGGCGAGCTTCGAGTCCTGGGCGTCGCCCCGCGGGATGTCGACCTCGAGCGAGCTGAACGACTCGAGGTCCGACTCGTCGTTGTCAATGGACGAGAGAGAGCAGTTGGAGGAGGACCTGATGTGGCGCAGGTGGTTGGGCCCCCCGGAGGAGATCGACGGGTGGTGGAGGCGGTCGCTGCCACAACTCCCGTTCTCTGCGGAAGGAGGCGCCGGTGAGAGAGAGGGAGAGAGAGA